AATTTCTATGTGCTCTTGAAATCAAAAGAGAGACAATTTGGTCACAGAGATGAAAAGGAAGAACACACAGGTCAGATTGAAAGTGTGAAAAGACTCAACAGGCTGTTGTTGGCTTTCAAAAGTGGCCTGAAGGAGGCCTGGGCCAGGGAATATATGTAGCTTCTGGCAGCTGGGGATGGCCTTCAATTGACAGCTAGCAAGAAGATGGGCATCTCCATCCTACCAGGAACTGCATCCTGCTAAAAACCAACATGAAAAGGGAATGGATCCTTCTCTAGAGCCTCCAGGAAGAAATACACCCAAAGCAAGCCAAGACTTGCTTCTACCTTCAGGACAGCAAGATTAATAAATTTGCATTGATTAAACCACCCAGATTGTGGTATGTTGTTGCTGCTGCTGCTGCTGCTAAGTCGCTTCAGTCATGTCCAACTCTGTGCGACCCCATAGATGGCAGCCCACCAGGCTCCCCCATCCCTTGGATTCTCCAGGCAGGTATGTTGTTAGGCCAGCAGAAAACTAATAAAATATTCAATGTTTAAATGCTGAAAACCTAACTAGATTCTATATCCTGTAAGCCTTCTAAAGGTATTTTAATAACAATAATCAAATATCAATATGTGGAACTGACATACCTTCATTATCTGAAGCCTGAGAAGAAAACATATGCACAAAGAGGTTTCCTTTGGCCTTTTGCTTTTCCACTGCCTCCCATAATATTACCTTTCAATATTCTTTCAACAACTATTTATTGCTGCTTCTAAGTCACTTCAGTCGTGTCTGACCCTTAGCGACCCCATGGACTGCAGCCCACCAGGCTCCTCCGTCCATGGGATTTTCCAGGCAAAAGTACTGGAGTGGGTTGCCATTGCCTTCTATTTATTGAGAACCTACCATATGCCAGGCACCATTCAATGTATACAGTACACAGCAGAAAGGAAAAAAATGTATAGAAAAACCCTTGCCCTCATGGAGTTTATACCTCTGGAGTGGGGCTGAGGGGTAAACAGAGAGTAAAGAAATCAGGAAGATGAGACTTCCAAGGGTCTCTGAGTCACTCACAGGAAGGGATGTGCTTGAAATCCTCGGAAGACTCACACAGTTGAAAAATAAACACTGACAAGTTAAGCTCCTGATACATCAGTGAGCTGTCCTTTAGAGCAATCCAGGGTGAAAACAGAGCAGAGGCCTGAATGAAGTGCCATAGAAAGATCCAGAAGAGTGCTCCCAGTAAAGGGATCAAAATCACAGATCCTGGGGGAAGAAGTAGGACTTGCTGTTCTGGGTCTTTTTTTTTTTTTTTCAGAGTTCAATATTTGTTCTTTTTTTTTTTTTCACATTACCTTTATTTTTTTTATTTTTTTTTCCCGGTCCCCCCTCCCACCTCCCTCTCCACCCGATTGTTTGCTTTTCCTCTTAAAGAAAATGAAAATGGACAAAAAATGTGGTTGGAAGTGATTTGAGACTAAAGGGGAGAGTGGGAGGAGGTGAGTTCAAAAAAGTAAATGGAAGCCCACTCACTAGACCATTGTAGTATCTCTGGCTTCAATTCTGAGTGGCAGGGAGCCATTGGGCAGACGCAGGCAGAAGAGTGATCAGACCTGGCTTATGTGAGCCAAAGCTCATTCTTGTCGCTATGTAGAGAACAGACTTCAGGAGTGAAGAAGAGACACTGGTTCGGAGGCTACTGCTATGATCCAGGCAAGGGTTGAGAGCAGTTAGGACTTAGTGGTGTAGGCATGAAGAAGTGGTTGTATTCTGGGTACATACTCTAGGAATACAAACTTTTATGAACAGAAGTTATGTCTAACAGCTAACACTATGCAGGTGCAAATGACGCTGCTTCATATAGATACCCTTTGAAAATGGTAATTCTGTGGAATATACACTTCCCAAAGGGAAAATATTTCTTGTGGATGAGCCAACTCTATTCTCTCGGCCTAGGAGAGACCTCATTCTCTCGGCCTAGGAGAGACCTCTCCTCACACTGAACCCTCTTCTGCATGACTTCATTGTACTAAATGCGTCTGTGTAGACTGGGATCCAATAGGTACCCAGCAAACATTCACACAGCAGGACAGTATTAATGACAGTGATGGAGATGAGAATGGACAGTTTGCAAAACAACATTCTTGAGAAATCAATTCTCTTGAGCCTTGACACCATGCTTCTCTCTCTCTTCTCTCAATGTATTTTCTCTGTCAGTATGTCAAAGATTCCACTAAACAAGACTAACACTTCGAGTGCTAGCGGGAGAATGGAGGAACTGCAAAGTGAAGAAGAGGCACCAGGCATGCCAAGCTGGGAACCTCTAGCCAGGGAAGGCCTCCTGCCGCTGCTCTTGGCTTCATCTTTGCCTCTCAGCCCTTAAACAAGTCCGGTTTACATCTCTTCTTCCAGAAGCTCCCTAGAAGCATGCTGCCTAAAACGCTGTGAGCAGACTTGTAATCCACTCCACCAATGGTTGGAGGAAACAGTTGGAGGACTGCCCCTCACTTCCGGGGTAAAGCAGGAACTAGTTGAGTCCTGCTGCCATGATAATTGGCAGAGAAAAGAATGTGCAGCTATTGAAGAATACTGTAATGGTTCATTTTATGTGACACCTTGACAGAGCCATAGGGTGCCTAGGTAGTTGGTCAAACATTATTGTGAATGCTTGCTAGGTCCCAGGCACTCTTCTTATATTTTTTATCAATGTGTATTGCCCCGTGTGTTGCCAGATTGCTAGATTTGGAAAAGCCCATTCATGCTTTAACAACGAAAAGAACAAAATATAGAGGAAGATTGCAGGACTTGAGCTGCCTATTTTCATCTCCCAGTCCTTTTTCTTCCTTGCAATTGATAACTCACTTATTTTACTTCCTCTTTTTCCATATTGGAAACTGATCTAGCCAAACCATGAATCTAAAAACTGTTTATTAGAAGTTTCAGTGTTTTCTCCATCACTCTGCATGAGCCCTAAGTGCCCTCGGCAAGTACATTGGTCTCCAGAGTTACAATTGTTCCTCCAACTCCTTCAGTGTTATGACAGAATGAATTTTTGCTTGATGGGAAATTATTTTGTATTTCATTCCATATTTTAAATCCCTGTGTCTATGCACACTGGAAAAAGTTAAAATCAACACTTCAATATAATTCTGATCAGAGGTGATCACCTCTCCCTGATCAGAGGTGATTATCCTAAATGAAATTTGCCAATGATCAGCATCATTTCTCTTATGTGCTATCAAAATGTTTTAATGCAGTGAGTAAAAAACACTGATGGTTGTTATCATGATACAGAGGAGACACAAACTTAATGCTGTATGTGACCAGTAGAACATTACCAGCTTGATGTGTTTTCCCTTTAAAAATCACATTCCCACGTAGCCCCCAATTTGGTGTAATGTTCACCTTCCTAACAACTCGGATTGCTACAGTGAGGGAAGGTGAGGCTCCAAGAATTATTTGCTTAAGGTTACCCAGAGGCTATATGCCAGAATTAGGAACACAACGAAGTTGCTGATCCTAAAACTGACATCTAACATACAGATAAATTTCATAAGTTCATTAGTATAACCATTTACTCAGCATCTACTGTGTATCAGATCTGTGCTATACTCTGTCTAAAGCACATAGCTATGACCAAGCCAATGAATGTTGACATGAAGTTAATAAATAAATGAATCGCTCCCAGCATTTTTTTTGGTCTCATCTTACACAGCTCCCCAGAGAGAGAAGGTGTATGTGTGTGGGGTGTGTTGACATGATAATTGGGATGTTGATCTGATAACAGAGACTTTCTTTCTGAGACGCATGATGCTAAGCACCATACAAGCACAACATGAACAAGCTGAAGACTTTGGAACCTAGGCCCATTGAGGGCCAGTGGCAAACTTAGAAGCAACCCTGAGAAGGAAGGATTATTCAATTAAGGGTTGCCAGCATGGCCCCTTGGGAGCAAATTACTCCAGACAACTTTTAGAATTTTCTTTCTTGAATTGAAATTCAGCAGCAACAACAACAAAAAGAGTGCAACGGTGTCCACCCAAAACAGCCCGAACAATACTTCCAGAGATAAACACACAAAGATGGAGTCGCATTTCCTCATACTCAGCTGCTGGAGAAGATCATAGTGCTTTTCCTCATTCAATTAAAAGGCCACAGACTCCTAAACGTTTCCATGTTTTGGCAAGAAAATTATAAGTAGTTGTGCCCGCTGAGTTTGGTATGAATATAAATACAGGCAGGTGTAGATAAACCAAATGTATCAATGCTATCACATAGAGATGCAAACGTCACTCAGCATTTGGGGTGCGAGGGGTGGAGGAGGCCATCTCAGCCAGCCCTACAGGGCTGCCCAAGCCCAGAGGGTTGGTTTATAAAAGCTTTTTTGGCCAGGCCTGGCTTCCTTTCTCCTGTTGAATGGGGCCTAGTGCCAACCTAGCAGGTGCCCTGGAAACGATGGAGAGGTGGGTAGGGCTTCTCTCACACACTCCACGTCACCTCAGGGCCTGCAGTGACTCAGCCTGGCCTCTTCACACACAGCATGGGTAAATGTGAGGTAAGAGTTTTAGGCCCCGCCTGATCAAGCATGTCACCCACAGATACCCCACGGGGCCTAAGGAGAATGGAGTGACAGAAGAGAGGTGACTCCACAGAAGCCAGCACAACTACCAGAAATAGACGCCAAACAATGTCTCTGAAAGCCTAGCAGTTAAACCCTACTCTCCACTTCCGAGAATTCGTGCTACCTTGGCTTTACCAGCCACAAAGACAGCCCATGAATGTTCTACAGAACAATGTCCCTAGGAAGTTTCCTAGAAGACTCAGAATATGGGCTTAGTCCACGGTGATAACTGAATTGCTTTCTTTTGGCTAACTTTAGAAAAAAATGGCAAGCAAGAACCCTCCCTCCTCCCCCTGGATGGTTTGAATCATTGAGGGAGTTCTGTTTTCTGCCACAAAACGCATGGCCAACCATTTTTTCCACAGGACCCAGTTTCATCCTACCTCTCACTCACCTCAGCACTTGTCCTCTGCTGTCTAAAACTGTGACCTTCTGGATGAACTGAAAGCAAGCTGATCCAAACATGCTGAGGAGGGTTGGTAGATGGAGCTCAGCTACATGGGCAGAGGCAATCCCTGAGAGCACAGGTGGCGAACCAAGTGACGAAAGTGATGTCAAATGAGGCTCCAGAAACAATCTAGCCAATCCAGAGTCCAAAAGTGGGAAGCTTACAAGAACCACTCCATGGGAATCACCGGCAGCCAAGAGGAGGCTTCCATGAGGAGACCACATTACTTGGAGGAAACAAAGATCTGGCTTTAAAATGTACAAGGCAATGCCATCTCCAGATCACCAGTAAGTAGAATGACCATATAAAAAGCAGAATGACAAAAAGTCACTGCCTTCTCATACCACCCAAGAGGCACAGAGGTAAGCAGTGTGCATGCATGCTCAGTTGTATCTGACTCTTGATGACCCCACGGACTGTAGCCCACCAGGCTCCTCTGTCCATGGGATTCTCCAGGCAAGAATAATGGAATGGGTTGCCGTTTCCTCCTCCAGAGGACTGTCCCAACTCAGGGATCAAATCTATGTCTCCTGCATTGCAGGCAGATTCTTTAGCACTGAGCCACTTGGGGAGCCCCTGAAATTAGAAGACATGGGGTCTATCTCTGACTCTGGCACTCACTAGCTTTGTGATCTTGGGCAAGTCACTTAAGTCTCTGAATCTTTCCTGTTTCATGTGCAGAGTGGGAACAACTGCACAGGGTAGGATTAACTAAGGAGGGAGACAGGGAGGCTGACACCAGCTGGACTCCAGTTGGCTCTGCTGGGGTTAGAGAGAGCTGAGCACAGGAGCCAGAATTCACGGGGTCAGGTTACAGCTACTCTCTAGCTGAGAGCACAGCCTAGCTTGGTGGGCACCCTCCCCTGCCCTTTCCCTTCTCCTCAAAGAATCCCAGGCCCTGGATTTGCTTCCAGGGAACCAAATTGAAGACAACCAACTTTTAACAAAACAATGAAAGGAAACTAACATATGCAATTTTTCTCCTCAAAGGCCGACTTGGGGCTATATATTATTGAACCACATACCCCGGACAGTGAGGTAGATTTCTCAAGCCAGTCTCCACTGCCTTCTACTGCCTTCAGGAGCCAGGAGAGAGGTTCCTGAGCAGGCTGGCAGGAGAGGTGCCACCCCTGACACCTAGGCCTGTCTCTCGAGCTCTGCTTCTCAGTGGAGGAGGGGATTGTCACTTGGGTCTTGATGCGCTTGTGTTACAGTGACTGACTTGTGATTACATCAGGCAGTGAATCCACAGGAGGGTCCCTTATTCTAGTTATTTGGAATCATAGTCAGTACAGATTGACTTCCTTCCTGCAACCCGGCAATTGTGTGTGAGTGAATATAGGACATGTCTGTTCCTGAGAAACACCCATGCTTTAGACACCTTTTGTCTGTAGCCTTTTATTCCCTCTCTACTTTAGAAAGGGGAAAGAAGCTGTGGTTTTGAGGACAAAAGTAGAGCAGAATAACTTTCCAGAATTGTGTTCCTGAAGGCTGCTTGTATTCAGTTCAGATCCTAGGTTAGGGATTCTTTGGTGAGAAGGGAGCAGGCAGGAGACGGCAGGGGTGTGGGTCGGGGGTGGGGAGTGGGGGTCGCAGGGCAGTCACCAAGGAAGGCTGTGGTCTCAGTTCAAGGCTAACCCTCACCTGATCCCACAAGGTGCTCTGGACCACAAATGGCACCATAGCATTGGTCCCATCTTCAGGCAATAGTTACAGTTCAGTCGCTCAGTTGTGTCTGACTCTTTGCGACTCTATGGACTGCAGCACACCAGGCTTCCCTGTCCTTCACCAACTTCCGGAGTTTACTCAAAACTCATGCCCATTGAGTCGGTGATGCCATCCAAGCATCTCATCCTCTGTCATCCCCTTCTCCTCCAGCCTTCAATATTTCCCAGCATCAGTCTTTTCAAATGAGTCAGTTCTTCACATCAGGTGGCCAAAGTATTTCAGCTTCAGCATCAGTCCTTCCAATGAATATTCACGACTGATCTCCTTTAGGATGGACTGGTTGGATCTCCCTGCTGTCCAAGGGATTCTCAAGAGTCTTCTCCAACACCACAGTTCAAAAGCATCAATTCTTCGGTGCTCAACTTTCTTTATAGTCCAACTCTCACATCCATATATGACTACTGGAAAAACCATAGCTTTGACTAGATGGACCTTTGTTGTCAAAGTAATGTCTTTGCTTTTTAATATGCTGTCTAGGTTGGTCATAACTTTTCTTGCAAGGAGCAAGTGTCTTTTAACTTCATGGCTGCAGTCACCATCTGCAGTGATTTTGGAGCCCAAAAAAACAAAGCCTCTCACTGTATCCATTGTTTCCCCATCTATTTGCCATGAAGTGATGGGACCAGAAGCCATGATCGTAGTTTCCTGAATGTTGAGTTTTAAGCCAACTTTTTCATTCTTCATCTTCAGGCAATGGGGTTGAACAAGTCATTGGCTGTGGGCTTCCCTCAGGTATGAGGAGGCCATGCTCATAGGCAAGAGGCCTTTTGCTATAGAGAAGGGGGCAATGAGGAACCTCAGCAACCAAAATCCCCAACGACTGGGAAAGGGAAGGTGGGCAGCTCACCAACACTGTCCATTACACTAGCCAAACAACAACCAGACATCTTGTAAAAAAAAGCTTCTCACCCTGGGCCAACGAGCTCCCTGGGAACCTGTGTATCCTCACCTCCCACCACTCTCTCCTTCCTCATTCCATGCCAACCAGATTGGTCCTTGACCATGCCCACATCTTAGGGTCTCTGCACTGGCTCTCCCTCGGCCTGGAGCTCTCTGTGTGTAGATAGCATCTTCTTGGTTGAGCCTTCTCTAGCCACCCCACCTCTGCACATACATGAGCAACCCCATCACTCTTCATTGCTTTATTCTTCTCTATACAACGTATCACCATCTGACATAAAATATGCTTTATTAATATTTATTTATTTTCTTCCCCCCTTGAATGTCAGCTCCAACGAGGCTGGAATTTTTGTGTGTTTTTTTTTTTTATTCACTAGTGTTTCTCCAGTGCCTACAACAATGCCTGGCTCATTAAATATTGGTTGAATAAGTAAATGAATAGCTCCTTCATTTTAAAGCCCTCTCCCCTCAGCTTGAGCTAATGAGACTCTATTTCCAATGTTCTCATCTTTCCCCTCTATTTCATCTACACCATTTCCAGTGCATTAGGTTTGCTTTTTAAAAAACATTTATAGGAATAGTCATGTTTATTTCCACTTCATATTTTTAAATGTTCACCAAATCAACCACAGTCATCACTTCCACACTGGTGATAAGCCATGTTTGCTTTGAAATTGAAAATCCATAAAATGCCCAATTCTGCCAATCATGAAAAACAAAACATCTCAAGAAAGAATCCAGTGACACTTACTGAGTAGACAAAATCCAAATGGAGTAAAGGTGTGTCATATACCCTAAAAGGTTTCCAAGCTATCACCCTCACACCAATAAGCTGTATTTGAACAGAAATCTAAATACCTTCTATCAAATAAAGCTTTCCATATAAGTCACTTGTTTCAAAAAACCTACAAAATAATATGTGCTACTTTTTGTACCCCTTATATAATATATAATACAGTGTTTGTGACTAAAAAATCAATACTTAATAAATGAGGTTTTGGGGGGGACATGGAATGAAAAAGAAATCTCACTACATCATAATACACTTGCACACACAGTACCTATTTTTTTAATTGTACAATAGAAAACCTTTATTTTTTAGTGGTTGTCCATATTATATTTATTCAATGTAAAGGGTAATATTTAGATTTCCCAGGTGGCACTAGTGGTAAAGAGCCCACCTGCCAATGCAGGAGACATAAGAGACACAGCTTCAATCTGTAGGTCAGGAAGATCCACTGGAGGAGGGCATGGCAACCCACTCCAGTATTCTTGCCTGGAGAATCCCATGGACAGAGGAGCCTGGTAGAACGACAGTCCACAGGATTGCAAAAAGTCAGACACAACGGAAGCAACTTAGTATGCACACACACAATAATATTTAAAGAAAAATTTGAAGATGCCTATCCTTATATGGACCTCAAGGTAACAGTATCTATTTTGGAAAGTCAAATGTTTTACTAACTGATTCATTTCACTGGGGGCACGAAACAGAAGTGCAAGTTGAGATAAGCTTCCTGAAGAATGGGTATGCTTTCTCCCATTTCCAATGGTAAAAGAACCCAGCAATGGCTACAAAATCCTTCCTGGCTACATGACCTTGGGATTTCTGAACCTTAGATTTCCTCAACTATACAATGGGAAGAATCTCACTGGGGTTGTAGTAAGGATGCCACGACATCACGAATGTGAAAGGACTTCATAAACAAGATACACACACAAGATTTGAGGTAAATCTGGCCTCTAAATTCAGGTGGTACAAGTATAGTCGTCTGTAGTTTTAAATATTGCATCGGGGGGGCAGTGGTAGGATAGAAAGGCTTAACCAATTATGATCACATGCACAAAAAAGTAGGAAAGGGGATTCAACAGTCACTTGACATCTGAAATTAGTAGATGAGGCCAATCTGCTCTTCCATGTCTAGTGTTTTGCTTTTCACCTGTTAAATGAATCTTACTAGGAGTCCTGCTGTGAAAGTGTTGCACTCAATATGCCAGCAAATTTGGAAAACTCGGCAGTGGCCACAGGACTGGAAAAGGTCAGTTTTCATTCCATTCCCAAAGAAAGGCAATGCCAAAGAATGCTCAAACTACCACACAATTGCACACATCTCACACGCTAGCAAAGTAATGCTCAAAATTCTCCAAGCCAGGCTTCAACAGTATGTGAACTGTGAACTTCCAGGTGTTCAAGCTGGGTTAGAAAAGGCAGAGGAACAAGAGATCAAATTGCCAACATCTGTTAGATCATCAAAGATGCAAGAGAGTTCTAGAAAAACATCTACTTCTGATTTATTGATTACACCAAAGCCTTTGACTGTGAGGATCACAACAAACTGTGGAAATTCTTAACGAGATGGGAATACCAGACCACCTGAAATCTGCATGCAGGTTAAGAAGCACCAGTTAGAACTGGACATGGACCAACAGACTGGTTCGAATTTGAGAAAGGAGTATGTCAAGGCTGTATATTGTCACCCTGCTTATTTAACTTATATGCAAAGTACATCATGAGAAATGCTGGACTGGATGACTCACAAGCTGGAATCAAGATTGCTGGGAGAAATGTCAATAACCTCAGATATGCAGATGACACCGCACTTATGGTACAAAGAAGAACTAAAGAGCCTCTTGATCAAAGTGAAAGAGAAGAGTGAAAAAGTTGGCTTAAAACTCAATGTTCAGAAAACTAAGATCATGGTATCCAGTCCCATCACTTCATGGCAAATGGATGGGGAAACAATGGAAACAGTGAGAGGCTTTGTTTTTTTGGGCTCCAAAATCACTGCAGATGGTGACTGCAGCCATGAAATTAAAAGACGCTTGCTCCTTGGAAGAAAAGTTATGACCAACCTAGAAAGCACATTAAAAAGTAGAGACATTACTTTGCCAACAAAGGTCCATCTAGTCAAAGCTATGATTTTTCCAGTAGTCATGTATGGATGTGAAAGTGGGACTATAAAGAAAGTTGAGCACCGAAGAATTGATGCTTTTGAACTGTGGTGTTGGAGAAGACTCTTGCGAGTTCCTTGGACTGCAAGGAGATCCAATCAGTCCATCCTAAAGGAAATCAGTCCTGAATATTCATTGGAAGGACTGATACTGAAGCTGAAACTCCAATACTTGGGCCCCCTGATGTGAAGAACTGACTCATTTGAAAAGACCCTGATGCTGGGAAAGATTGAAGGCTGGAGGAGAAGGGGATGACAGAGGATGAGATGGTTGGATGGCATCACCAACTCTATGGACATGAGTTTGAGTAAGCTCCGAGAGTTGGTGAAGGACAGGGAAGCCTGGTGTGCTGCAGTCCATAGGGTTGCAAAGAGTCAGACACCACTGAGCAACTAAACTGAACTGAACTGAGGAGTCCTGCCAGAAAGAGCAATCTTTGGCCTTTGTTTCAGGATGTCCCATTGTCTCTGGGATAATGTCACTGACTCCATTCTAGTCCAACAGAAAGCTCCAGTGTGGCATGATGGTTAAGAGCACAGGCTAGCAGGAGAACAAGGTGGTGGAGGAAGAGGTGGATGTGTAGTACATCTATCTCCACGGACACATCAGGAATACACCTTCAGACACAGATGTGCTTGCAGAACACCAGCTGAAAGCGGACAGGAGTACCTGACCACCAGAAAAGAATATATAGAACCATGCAAAAGTCAGTAGGACGAAAGAACTGGGGGGAAAACCGGGAGTGTTAGTAAGACTGAACCTGCCCTCGGTGGGGGTGGGAACTGAAGCAGGGGTCTGATCCCCACATCGAGGCAACTGTCTGGGTCAGTGGAGAAACATTTAAGGCTAAGAGTGAAGCAGCTGATCTGTGGCAGCCTAAATGGAATGAGAATAAGAGCACAGGCTATGGAACTGGACCATGTGGCTTTGCATACTGTACCCATGAATTACTAACAAAGCAAATGAGTGTGAGTATGAACTACATTTACAGGGTTGTTGAAAGGATGAGATACATGACATGTGAAAAATGTCCATCCCACAGAATTAACTCCAAAAGGGGCAACTGTGGTTGTTACACAGATGAGCTGTGTTTTTCTGTTTTAATTTCAACTTTATGTTTTACATGTCCAGGTCCCAATGTCCTCAGTAAGCACTAAGGAAGGCTTCCCCAGCTGCTAGAACAAAAGCTCAGTTGCCTCATCGAGTCAAGTCTTCATGGATGTGACTGACAAGGTCTCTTCCTTCTAGAGGCACAACATAACAACATGGAGTGCTGGGCTTGGAGTCAAGACCTCAAGTTTCAGCCCTCCATCTTACTAGGAACTGTGATCGAGGCTAATTCACTCTATTTCTACACTAGAAAGTCAAGGTCCTGGAGGGAAGTGACCATATCTAACTGTTCATCCAGCTCCAGCTCATTGACTTGAACCTAGTAGGGCTTCGATAATGATTCGTTAAATCAATGAAAAACATGACTATGTCTGAGGTTTAATTTTCCTGTGTGTTCAAAGGGATAATAACAGTAGCTCTGTCGCAAGTTTGTTTGGAAACTGGGCAGTGACTCTCACAGTATAGTATCCTTTCCTTCCATTTCACCCATTGAACAATGCCTGCCTTGGCTTCCTCTGCCTGGTCTCTCATGATTCCCTTCCTCCATCTATTTCCTACTGGTTAGTACCTATTCATCCATCAATTCTCAGCTCAAAAGGTCCTTTCTCTGACTCTTCATAATGCTCCTGCTATTAGAGCCCTTCCCATATGTCCTTCACGGAACTCTAATTATACTTGCCTGATGATTTCATTCTTCCCATTAGATTGTAAACACCACCAGGGCAGGGCCTCATATCTTCCATGCACACCACTATACTTCCTCTTCTTCGGTCAATTGTTAATCTACAGGAACAGCTTATTAAATAGTTGTTGGATGAATGCATGAAGAGATGATTAAATGAACAAATGAGAAGCAGTAATAATAATCCTTTCTCCCAGACCCTTTTCTAGAACCTTC